TCTGCAAATGCTTTCCTTGTGTTCCCATAAAAGCAAATAGGGAACTGAATTTGAAAACCAAAATAAGGCTAGTAAATTCTTGAAAAGAGACAGTTCTTTTTCCTTGGAGACAAACCAAATTATGCATTTGCTTCTCTCACCAACAACATACTCTGGCTCAAACATTTTTAAAAGGAGGCTGCTGAACATCTGCTGAGCAATTAATGGGATGCAGCAGCATGTTGTAATGGTCCCTGGGAAGGTATTAGCAATCCTGCTTATGAGACATGAAATGTTGCTAACAATGGTTCTTCCTTTTTTTTTTTCCTTTGAATTTTTATTTTCCCCGGCCTACAGCGGGGATGAGAGAAAGAGAAATAGAGCTGAGGTGGAAGTTCTGCATCTAACACTCCTCTCCACTGTTTCTCTCTCTCTTTTTTTTTTTCAGGCTTCCTTCTCCTTCTCTTCCTAGCCACCCAAATATTAATGTGTTAATTTCAACCTAATAAAAGCAATTGTGGTGGCTCACGCCTGTAATCCCAGCACTTTGGGAGGCTGAGGCAGACAGATCACTTGAGCTCAGGAGTTCGAGACCAGCCTGGGCAACATGGTGAAACCCTGTCTCTACCAAAAACACAAAAAATCTTAGCCAGGCATCGTGGCATGAATCTATGGTCCCAGTTACTTGGGAGGCTGAGGAGGGAGGATGGCTTGAGCCTAGGGGACAGACGTTGCAGTGAGCCGAGATCACACCACTGCACTCCAGCCTGGGGGACTGGGTGAGACCCCATCTCAAAAAAAAAAAAAAAAAAAAAAAAAAGAAACAAAACTGTGGTAAGTGTCTCAGCCCACTGATACCCTACCAAAGTGCCAAGCTTTCCATGAGTGAAAGGGGAATTCCCTGCACTGTTTTTTGTATATGTAGGGTCTACTACCCTATTCAAATAGTTTTTTTTTCTTTTTTTCTTTTAATCAGGTAGCTAGAGGTAACTTAGGAGCAATCACCAACAGGAAACAGATCCCAGATCCCTCACATATTTTACTTCCTTATCACAATTGTTGTTGCAGTTGACAGGTTTGTCTTTTGCATATCAAAATCGAGCCCTGAGTGACTGTGTTCCTGTGGACACTGCCAGCTCTAATGCGTTATGACCAGCATAGCCAAACTTAGTATAGCAACAGTTTCCAAGACAAAGTTTCCAGTTATTCTATTAACCCAGGAAATTATCTTTGTTTACTTACCAAACTGGAGCTAATTTTCCACATATAAATCTATATCTACTCCAGTTGCTGAACTAGCCATGACAGCAAACTCAATAATGCCAGTTGATCAGGTTTGGAATTACATAGCCGAAAGACCCTACTATCAAAACTAACAGGAAAGATTTCTACAATGGTTGGAAGTCAAATAATTTTCTCACTCTCTCGAAATTGCTCCAGGCTAAGATTGGGCTTTTACTTGGAAATGGACTTTTTTTTTTTTCCTTTGGTGACTTTGTGTTACACACACCTATATTGCAAGGGGATCTTCTTCACATCTCAGTGTGCATATCTGGGTCCCCAAATTATACCTCCCTTTTGCCAGTCCTTCTTCTCAGGAATCTTAGTCCTGCTTCTGAAACTCCTAGTTATATAATAAACTACAAATATGAATTGAAAACATTTTTCAGTTCTTCCAACTTTGCATTATCTTTTGCAATCTGGAGTTTTTACCAGTGGGATTAACATCTCATGGTTATCAGGAATTGACTTCCTTTCCCACAGGGAGCTATAAATCCAAGGACCTTTGGATGCCTTTGCTGTATTCAGTTTCTCTGGCCAAGCCTACTGGCCAAACCAGTCTCAGCTAATTACCCACTTTTTGATCTCAATATTTCAGCTTGATCCCAGCTCTAAACCATTTGTCACTGAAGAAAGTGTTCTTACGTAACATTTAAAATAAGATTTCCATTTTTTTTTTTACAACCCACTTCTCCCTAAAGTTAAATATGGTAACATATCAATCTTTTAAATTGTTTTAAATTCGCACATAACAATTATACATATTCATGGAGTACACAGTGATGCTGAGATACATAAGCATAGTGATCAGATCGGGGTAATTAACACATCCATCATCTCAATCATTTATCATTTCTTTGTGGCGGGAACATTCACTATCTTCCAAAACGATCTGAACCATCATTAGAGCATAATGCAATAATCGTTAAATAAAAACCAGACACAGATGGAAGAGAAGTATGGAAGGAAGAAAAAGAGTGAAATGTGAGTGGCCTCCAGAATTGAAGAATGGGAGAAGTAGGGTTAGTTCCAGGCCTAGCTTGACCTCCAATGCTCTCCTGTTCAACAGAGGGAGGTCTCTGGACTCAAAAAGGCACTGTTTTCTGATACACCAAGCCTAAAGATAGTGTTCATTCAAAGGCTGCTTATGCTGTAAAAGCAAATTTTGCATCACGAAGGATAGACAGGTTGGCCACATCCCTTCAAACCCAGACCTCAGTATGGAATATCAGGCGTAGTTGTTTTAATTTCTAAACTCAAAGGGAACAAGTAGTAGCTGATGAAGTTCAGTCAGCTACCTAAACAATCTAATGGTCTGATTAGATTAAATAAATCAGTGAATCTTTTTAAACCGATGTTCAATGGTTACTTTCTATTCAGTTGACAATATTTGTCAGTGGCTCGGCTATCAGGATGACTATAACTCTTGTTTCTGGAATCATTCTCCCATACAACTAGTCACGTGTACCTCTGCCATGTGCTAACCCCACTCACCAAACACCAAAGCTCAACATTCTGGGTAGGAAAGGGCCAGTCAAGACCATCAAATGCCCTAAATTGGTCTTTTCTTCAGATAATTTTCACCAGCATATGATTCAGAAAGCGGCTTTGACCAACAATAGTAGTTTATGAGGGCAGAGACTCTGTCCCCAGTGTTGACAACATTGCTTGGCCCAGTGTAGGCAGGCACTCAGTAAGTGTCTGTTCAACGGATGTGTTAGGATGACAAGATGCAGAATAGGAATTGAGCCCTACTCAATCCTCCTGCTCCTTACAGTCATCTTTTTCAAGGGATGCTCTGAATCGTCATACTTCTGTTCAAAGGTCTCGATGGCTTCCCAGACCTTTGATGGCTTACTCGCTAAAGTAAGTAAAAACGGCGTACCCTGGCATGTTTTCACCCTCCACACCTCCATATCCTATGCTGAGTAACAGTGACTTTAAATAGTGGGATTGAAAAAACAACAAGAACAATAAAATCTTCCATGAAATCCAATAAAGAAAAAATATAAAATCCAAGAGGGTGAGAGGTCAGTGGTCAGCCTGCTTGGCCTTCCGCTAGACCTAGCAGTGCCTCGTGAAATCTCCAGGAAACCAGAGAATGGTGCTGGTAATAGCTACTTTTTATCCTCATTTATTTATTCAGCATGCCCAGAGCCCTTTAGGCTTTACTTCCTTGGTGCTTAGAATGACCTCCTGCATTTAATCCTATCCATCCTTGAAGGTTCTTCCTCGAAACCACTACTCCATGAAACAATACTGTATCATTTTGACAGGATATAACTCATCTCTGCTTTAAATTTCCTATACAGCTTTAGTTGCTAATAACAATAAAAATGAACTTTAAAGCTATCTTTCAGACACTATCCTAAGTGCGTTACCTGAATTAACTTAGTCTTCACACAATCCCACTGGCAGAGATGCTATTACCATCTCTGAGACACACAGAAGTTAAGTGTCTTTCCCAGGATTATATAGTCAGTAACAAAGCCAAGATTGAAACCAATGTTCTGACTGGAAAAAAAGAATCCAAGTGCTTAAATATGTTACATAGTCTCTCTCTATATAAGCATGTATGCAGTTTGCTCATTGACTACTCTCCGCTGCCTGTTCTTCCCATCCCACAGTACCACTGCCATTGCTACACCGAACTTCCCCACACCACAACCAGGTTATAAGTTTTATGAAGACGAAGACCACTTTTCACAGGTGTTTGTACTCCATGGAGCACCAGCATGGTACTCTGCAAAAAAAAGTACTCAATAAACATTGTTAATTTATTATTAATATATCACAACAATATCTGTTCCTAAGTGCTTGTGTTATCATTGAAAACTATTCTAAGCTACTTGTGTTATCATCTATTCTAAGTTACTTGTGTTGTCATTGAAAACTCTCCATCAGCTTAGGAGGAGGATCCGCCATCCTCACCACCACCTTTTCAGGTGAAGAGATGGAAGCTCAATGACATTAAGTAAATTGTAAGATCCTGACCAATTCCAGGTTCAGTTCCTGGGTATGGCCCTGTACCACTCCTAAGTTCCTGCTATCTCTACTGCGTTACATTATCCTGAAACTTAAAGAAAGCAAATGATTTGTAATATGAATATGTTGAAAATAAGACTTTGCAGAAAGACCCCCACAAATGTATTTGTTAATGTTATTTTCAAGATTTCTGATGAGATAAATGAAGCATGCTTTCATGTGAGATGTATCCAAGCGGTTCACTGACAGTTTTTGCCAGAGACTAAGTATAAAATACTACCTTCTCACTGGGTCACCCAAGTTGGAGTGCAGTGGCGTGATCTCAGCTCACTGCAACCTCTGCCTCCCAGGTTCAAGCGATTCTCCTGCCTCAGCCTCTCAAGGAGCTGGGACTACAGGCATGTGCCACCACGCCTGGCTATATTTTGTATTTTTAGTACAGATGGGGTTTTACCATGTTGGTCAGACTGATCTCAAACACCTGACCTCAAGTGATTCACCCACCTCAGTCTCCCAAAGTGCTGGGATCACAGGTGTGAGCCACTGAGCCCAGCCCAAAGTGTCACCTTTTTCTGCTGTTTAACTGGTTCTCCATTGAGGCAGAAACACCAAGCAAGACAACGTTCAAGATCTGATGACTGATCTGATTTCTGACTAGCACTGTTACCATCTAGCCTTTTTATGAGGAAGGAAGCACAGACTGGGATTCCCTTTGCCAGAGCCACCAGCCAGAACCCAGGGACATGGACACTGACCTGCTGTTAAGTGAGCAGCATGGACAAGGACTCGGACTCCTGGCTTCAGCTCAAAGTGTACTGAGTTTTGGTTGAGCTTGTGGATCAGCAATTCTGATATCTGAAAAAAGCAGCATAGTTAGTGCCACCAAAAGTGTTATACAGATTATAAACAAATAAGCTTAGAAATATTTACTATTTTCACTAAAGCATCACAATATTATACTCATGAGTTATATAAATAAGGTTTATATTAATTCCAGAATATGCAGATACAATTATTTTTAAGCATGGCCTGTCTTTACGTACTAATTGCTACAAAATAGGAGAAACTATTAGTGAATGAAAATAATTATGCTCTTTAAAAATTACTCTGAATGATCTTAGAAAATTTACCCCCAGTCTTTTGAGAGAACATTTGTTGTGCATAAAGACTTAAAAGAAGTATATACAATTTACACATTCTGATAAGGTTCATATATATTCATTTTACTTCCATTCTATTTCCCAAACCATGTGATTTTCACAAAACGCTTTATGAATATTTATTGTATGGTAAATATAGTTCTGCTAAAATGTACAATTGAAACAAAGTACAGCTATAACGTAAGTAGCAAATTGGCTAACCTTTATTTCATGCTTATAAATGTTATCTAAACTGTACCTCAGGCTGATACACGGGTACTGGGTAGACCCATGGAAGTCTGGACTACGAAATATTTAACCCCAAGCATGGGACAAATAACTTCATTTGGGTAGAAATAGTATAAGGTAAGGTTTTATGGATGAGGTAAACCTGTGCGTCTGTTTAGAGTAGAAAACTGAGCTCCATTTGCTGTTTCCTTTATAATTTTGAGGAATTTCTGAAAAGTTACGGGGATAACAACACCCCTATTATTTTATTATTATCATTATTTGAGAGACAGTCTCGCTCTGTCACCAGGCTGGAGTGCAGTGGCACAATCTTGGCTCACTGCAACCTCCGCCTCCCGGGTTCAAGTGATTCTCCTGCCTCAGGCTCCTGAGTAGCTGGGACTACAGGCATAAGCCAACACACCCAGCTAATTTTTGTATTTTTAGTAGAGACGGGATTTCACCATGTTGGCCAGGATGGTCTTGATCTCTTGACCTTGTGATTAGCCCACCTCAGCCTCCCAAAGTGCTAGGATTACAGGTGTGAGCCACCGCACCCGGCCCATTCCTACTATTTTTATCTGGTCTGCTAGCCTTATTTTTAATATTCTAATAATCAATTTAATATTTTACTTAACATGTTATTTAAGTCTGATTAGATGCTTTCTGACCATCATTCTGCTAATTAAATTCTTAATTTTTTCCCTTTTCTATTTGTTGAGTTTTATTTACTCCAGTGAGTTGCCAAAATAACACCTTTAATTCCCTTATTTGTTAAGCAGGGCCTGATGGCTTAGTTTGGAAGCAGAGAGTCATCTGCAGAAGCCCCTGATTGGTGATAGAACTGAACTGCCGCACAGATAAACTTCTCTCCTGAACAACAGGAACAGAGGATGACCATCACTGCCCAGTCGTTGAGCATAGCCTTTCAAATGCTATAATTTAGCAAACAATGCAGAAAAACAAGATTGTGATAAAACTATGCGGAAAACAAAAACAACTTTATTGTGTATATTAGGCTACTTCCTTTCTTGGGTGCTGGGAATCATCCAGAACCATCCAGGTATACAGAAGTGGATTTCTGGCCGGGCACAGTGGCTCACTTTGGGAGGCTGAGGTGTGTGGATCACTTGAGTTCAGGAGTTCGAGACCAGCATGGGCAACATGGTGAAACCCCGTCTCTACTAAAACTACAAAAAATTAGCCAGGCATGGTGGTGCACACCTGTACTCCCAGTTACTCGGGAGGCTAAGGCCGGAAAATCACTTGAACCCAGGAGGCAGACGTGGCAGTGAGCCAAGATCATGCCACTGCACTCCAGCCTGGGAGACAGAGTAAAACTCAAAAAAAAAAAAAAAAAAGAGGAGGAGAGGAGGATGAGAAGGAGGAGGAAGGGGAGGAGAAGGAGGGGGAGTGGGAGGGGGAAGGAGAGAGGGAAGGAGAAGCAGAAGGAGAAGGAGAAGTGGAGAAGTGGATTTCTAACACAGATTGCATAGAATGGTTTTCCTCTGTGTTCTTATCTTTTAATTGGCAGAGTCTTTATCGGAATCAGACAGTGGAATTTTTAGAGGTCTATCGCAAAGATTTTAGCTATGAAATACACACACATACATGCACACACACAGATACAGAATTGCAGAAAAATATTTTTTATTCAAATATGAAAGACCTGTCAAAAGTAATTAAGGAATTAGACTGTTTTGCCAAATCTATCATATGGACTAAAGGGAAGTGGGAGAAAGACTCTCTACTTTCAACCAGGTGCAGAGCCATATTTCTTTTCTTTTTTTTTTTTTTTTTTTGAGATGAAGTGGGAGTCTCGCTGTTGTAGCCCAGGCTGGAGTGCAATGGCACGATCTCAGCTCACTGCAACCTCTGCCTCCTGGGTTCAAGTGATTCTCCTGCCTCAGCCTCCTGAGTAGCTGGGATTATGGGTGCTTGCCACCATGCTCAGCTACATTTTTTTTTTTTGGTATTTTTAGTAGAGGTGGTGTTTCACCATGTTGGCCAGGCTGGTCTCTAACTCCTGACCTCATGTGATCCTGATCTGCCCACCTCGGCCTCCCAAAGTGCTGAGATTACAGGTGTGAGCCACTGCACCTGGCTGCAATATTTGTTTCTTATCACTGAGAATGTTTTCTCTTCAAGTGAGAGATACAAATAGCTAAACCAGAAAATGGAGTTTATCAAAATATCATATTTTTATTTATAATCTCCAGGAAAGACCCTTGTGAAAATAATTAACTACTTGGCTTTGTTTTGGTTTATAATATTGTTTCATTGGCTCTATCTGTATCACTTACGAAATTTTAAGAAGGAAATTTAAATTTAAAAATTATCTGGTAACAGACAGTACATTTCATATATTTAACTTGCATCAAAGGACATTTAACAATGAACACATGCTTTGTGAGAAAAAATTTGCATAAGAAACAAAACTAAATGAAATTTACATTGCATACAAGAATAATCTCAATTAGAACCATGTGCTTTTCTACTGAAATAAATGAGTATGAAACTGTTGACAGATTTTGACAATATTATGTTTTCCACACCACTTGTACAAGTGTTTATCCTGTGTTTTTTCAAACGATTACAAGTTGTTACGTATATTCTAAAGTGTATTATATATGCTGTGAACACTATTTTGGTAAAGTTGCTTATTTCTTACTAGCTTTTCTAGCAGAGCACATCTGAGGTATCAGTGCTGGCATCTTCATGGAAAGGAACATGGAGCTTAAAGGAAATACCAAAGTTTATTCAGTTAATATTTGAAGAGTTGAGACTAGACTTTAGCTTTGTTTGACTCCTAATCCTAAAGTATCTCCATTAAAAATATTTTCCTTGAACAAGCTGACAGACTTCTCTTGGAGAGAAGTCTGGCAAGATAAGTTTACAAGATGAGAAAATACAGCACTTTTATTAATTATGCTGCCTTCTCTCATTCATCTGTGAAGCACCCGAAGTTAAAACATCAGTTCCAATATCCAGTGACCAATATGGGCTACAGGAGTGGGAATTTCCTAACACCATCCTCAGAGGGGCCACTTTCTGTTCACCAGTTGCATAATTGGGTAACGTTTGAGAGAGTCTTCGGCTATGGAAAGCAGTAGAATAAACTGCATTCTACTGAAAAGTATGGCAACAGCCTAAATGAGAAGAAAAACACTTGCCTGATAGAGACTCAAGTGAAATACCGTGTGATTTCTAGGAGGGAGACTGAACCTGCTAAAGCAAATTGAATTTATTTCTTTTTCTTTTTCTGTCTGGTGAAAAGCATGTTGTCTTAACAAATTTCATTTATCCTGTACACAGTCATCCCTCCTCTGCTGCTTTCCAGCACAGTCCATTTTCTATTCCACATCAGCTAAACAATCACCACCATAGAAATAACACATTATTCTTGGTATCTGCCTATTTGGTGAAATATGCCTATTATTCAAGTGCAACCTACATTTCATTTAGAGGACCACTTAAAAGGAAGGTGGAGGCTCAATTTGAATTTTACGAAAGCTACCATCAAAAGGATGTCTTGGGAGGGACCTGCCACAGGGAAAACACCGATGTTCCACATTGTCTTCTTCACAAAAGATGAAGATTGAATGCAACACTCAGAATCAACTAGATATGGCTGTGGTCAGGGCCTTCAATCAAGAAAGGACAATTTTTTGCTCACACATTGCATTCATGGCAGCTACGCAGTGGTGTTGGGCTCACTGTAGTCACACAGGGACACTGGCTGGTGGAGTGGCCATCGCAAATATTTCCATTCACTACATACAGCACAAGAGGGAAAAGGAGCTAGCAAAATTCTACAACGTGCATTTGAACACTTTAGCTTGGAAGTGGCACATATCACTTCTGCTCCCACAGTCCTGAGGCTCTGCCCCAGCAGAAGAGACTCAGCCCCATCATGTACCCCAAAAGCAGTGGGCTGGAAATATTTAGCCACACAGTGATGATTAACACACAAAGAACATATTCGGCCGGGCACGGTGGCTCACGCCTGTAATCCCAGCACTTTAGGAGGCCGAGACGGGCGGATCACGAGGTCAGGAGATCAAGACCATCCTGGCTAACATGGTGAAACCCCGTCTCTACTAAAAAATACAAAAACTAGCTGGGCGCTATGGCGGGCACCTGTAGTCCCAGCTACTCGGGAGGCTGAGGCAGGAGAATGGCATAAACCCGGGAGGCGGAGCTTGCAGTGAGCGGAGATCGCACTACCGCACTCCAGCCTGGGCGACAGAGCGAGACTGTGTCTCAAAAACAAAAACAAAAACAAAAACAAAGAACATATTCAATGCCTAAACAATTTACAATGAAACCAAGAGGGAGAAACACTGTCAGATGATCAGAAGCAAAGTGGCAATTCTTGAAACATGAAAAAATAAAAGTTTTAAGGACAGTAGAGTAGTTTATAAATTCATAGGACATGTAACCCAAATAAGTGGTACAAGGTAAAAATACAGATGCAAATGTGCTTAGACAAATTTATTAATGGCAGAGCGACACTGGATCAAAATACTAATATTTATTCTTAAGGTGGTAGGAGGAATGCAAATCTTACTGAACATAATAGCATTCTGGTGCCATGTTTAGAGAGGGTATTGCCTGGGATGACCTGGGAGCTGACTCAGTTGGTCAATCTTGATTCCATTACACTATTAAAGTCTCTTCAAGTAGCAGTTGAGGAATATTCCTTTTGTGTTAAACAGAGGAAGATCTTTCCCAATTCATACATTTTTTGCATTGGAGCTAAATACTAAGCTCTAATTAACAGTAGCTCAGTTTCATTTCTTCATAACACACACACACACACACACACACACACACAAATTTAGCCTGATTAAAGTGCCTAAGAGGTCTCCTGGATAATGGTGCATGAAGAAACAAATCAGTCATAGATACGTGTTTCCTTTGGATTTCCCATCGCCCACTTTAAGCTTCTCTCTACCTCCTCCTGACACATTGGCTCTGGTCCACCTCTTACCTGCTCCACTTTTGGTTATAGCTCTCCTACTTCAGTGACCTTCCTTGTAAATTCCAGAGTACTTTTATAATTCGACTCCCCATGTTAAAAAGATCTAGACTGATAAGCAAAATGTGTGGATATGCAGAAAATAGATATTATTAGTTCCATTTCATAATACATTTCTAATTTCTTAAAAGCTGTCACCCTGTTCCCTGTTCAAATCTGTCTTTCCTTTCTTCCTTAGGTTTCAGGTTCTGCATCTGCCAACTGTGTAGAGTAACAAAAACAGCCAAGGAAGAAATATATATATATATTTGTGGTGGACATTTTTTCCACATCTTTTTTGTTCTTTTTAGATGTTCTAAAGTCCTTTAAGGATCCTGAAAGACAACACACCTAGGCTCCTTATCTCCCCAGCAGAGCATCACAAACAATTGCGATAGAGCATGGTGGTCTTTCCTCCCTACAGGAGAGACAGAAACAACTTTGTTCACCCCTGAGGACGCCGAGGGGAGCAAGGAAATGGGGTGCTTGAGGGGCAGGGCTTGCTCCACATCTGAGCAGCTGGCCTCAGGACAGCAGCATGCGCTACCCTTGATGAGACCCCCAGCTCAGGGCATGAAAGCCTTTTCTCACTCACTCCAGAGATCCTAAATAAAAGCTGGTGGAACCCTCCCAGACAGAGGTCACTTGATTAACCCAGCCCACCTCATCCTGATAACAGAGTCAAGTACTTCTCACTGTGAAGAATTTTCCATTTATTTCACAGACAAGATAGCTCGATCCAAGCCTGCATTGCTGCTCCCCAGGAAGGCTCTCAGAAGAAGCTAAGGAAGGAGGACTGCGAGTCCTTTGCTGGGGCCCTGCCCTCCTATTCTTTAGGACACATCTGCCTAGGATCCCAGTTCTTTCACTGCAGGGGGATCTGCACTGCACCTTTACAAGAAAGGGGCCAAGGCGTGAAATGAGGGCATAAGGACAGGCCGTCTCAAGTTTCAGCTGAGATTTAGAGGACAGCCTTCAAAGCAGGGGGTTCATTTCTGTTGTTTGGGTTTGCTTTGCATTTGTCTTAAATTTCTGTATAATTTATGACACCGGAAGTCAGTTGCATTTGCCTCCCAGCATTCCCTCTCCCTTCCCCACATTGTTCTTTGAGGAATCCATGTCCTTGTCTAGTCCTGGTCCATTTGGTTCAGGGAGGGTATAAAACATCTGAGTTGTCACTGACAGCACATTATCCCCATGACTGCAGGGACTAGCTAAGAGATGCCCACTTTAAACAGGTCAGACCAGTGCAAATTGTGAACCTGGAGCTCTCACTGTTGCAATCAGATGAGAGGTACTGTCTTTGGGGTTGATAAACTGATAAATAGACGTTGGGGATGCCTGTGGCCATTCTTGCTTTCCTATGTGTTGGTTTCATTCTCAGGTCAACTTCCCATATGGTAGCCAGGAAAACAGATGGAGGCAGAGGAAGAGAGGGAAGTAATTTGGTGACACTTTTGAGTGGTTCTTAATTCATCTGTCTCAACTGTATCTCTGGACTTCTCAATTAAATGAATTCAAAAACTCCCTTTTTTACCCATAAAGTTAAGTGACTAAGTCAGAGCAGACAATGAAAGGACCCCTCCTGGACTGAAAACTACGGGTCTCCAGGAGACGCCCCTGACTCACAGGGTCTAGACATGTGCCTTGGTTTAATAAGTTCATTTCATGTGCATTTTTCCATCAGGGTAATAATGTCCTCTACAACTAAGACACTAATTTCTAATGTGCTATGTTTGGCATTTGTAAAGCCACTGTGTCTACTTTGCTTTGAGTCCTGGAATAGGCTGATACACTGGCAATTTCCTTAAACAAATTTACAGTCTCTAGCTTGGTACTTTACTTTCTTTTCATGCTATAAATCTGCATAACTCGCATGAGCTCATGTCATTCAGATACATTCTTTCCTTATTGTCCTTATTTTTCTCCATTTTCAGTAATTGCATTCATTAATCTGTTTTCTCTTATTTCCACCATCCTCTCTTCCAATACATGCCCTTGACTATACCAGTCTATTTAATATGCCTAAACTTTTTTTTTTCATTTTCCACATCTCCTCTTATCATATAATGAGCATGAATGTAACCATTATCTCTATACTGCCAGTGAACATTTATAAGGCCAAGTACTTTGCTATATCATTTCTTTAATCCTCTCAGACACCCCATGAGATAAGTGTGACTTTGGCTCAATTTTTCTACTTCTCTTGTCCTCACCTTCCTCATCTGTAAAATGGACATAATAAATATCAGAGGCAAAACTAGAAAATGGTTGATATTTATGTAAACCTGTGTTCTAACAAAATAGATAGACTCCTCTACATGTGTGCCAATTCTAAGTCACACAGCCTTCAAGCAAGATAGTTGGTTTCAGATCTCTGATGACATGGTTCACCGATGACTGATACAGGCTGCCTTGAGGGCCACATTCAGCTCTCTAAGAATGCTTTTGCAGGAAACACGCAGAAGAGATGGAGAATGAAGGAAAACAAGAAGTTTAGAGAAAGCAGATAGTCAAAGCAAGACACATCCGTACATAAATATAAGGAGTTTCACAGAATGGACCCCTCTTCTTTCCAAACTTCCCCTCAAAGGATGAAGTAGAAAATATAACACTTTTAGAAGAAAATATGGAAAGTGTGAGAAATAAAAGTGCACAGACAATGTGGTAACTAGGAAAAAAGGTGACTCTAAATCTGTACCCTCTTCCATACTTGAAAAGATTAAAATCTGGATTTCATGAAAAACCAGTAAGATTTAGAGGAGGTACAACTGCAAATATTCCTATCTAAAGGCTTTGGATAGGGATCTGCTTTCCCTCTAGGTTCTTAACAATGCTGTGATAAGAACTAATCTATTCTTTCTCCCACCAAAATGCAGTGCAGATAATTAATTTGTAGAGTATGATGGGAAGCTGAGGTAGGGAGTGAGGTTAGATGCAAATCTGAGGGGTTACCAGCTGTCCACCCTTCAACTCCACTTCACTAGGAAATGGGGTTCAACAGGGCTTTCTGTGAGAGCTCTGCTCTTCATTACTTGCACACAGAGAAAATTATGCAGGTGAACCTTCTGCCAAGTTAGAAAGTGGCAGCTGAAAAGAGGGTGTGTGCTAGGAGGTGGGCCATGCCATAATTTGGGGTTGTTTTTAACAAGACTATTACAGAAGGTTCTCAAGTCATCCTGGAAGACTAGAGATCATGGGGCTAGAGTATGGGTTTAGTAAACAGAAAATCTCCAAGTACTGGAAGGGAAACAGCCAATATTTACTGAGGAGCTGAGAAGAATCTTATTTTTAATCTATTTACCTGGAAGAACTGAGAAATCGAAATCATTTGGTTTCTAAAAGGGCAACTAGACCAAGACTGATCATTTTAATTGAATGGACAAAGAAGAATAACAACAACATAATAATCCCCACTACAGAGATGGGAGAGTGTTTTAAAGTTAAAAGGAGGAAAGGGAAGAAAAAAGAAGACTAAAGGGGAAAAGAGAAAAAGAGAATGACACACACACACACACACACACACACACACACTCTCAAATGCTCCCAGAAGGTAGTGGAGATGAGGAGGAGGTGAACCCCACAGGGCAGTAGAGCTGCTCTGGGGCCAATGTTATTCATTACAAACCCAAATTAGATCATAAAAGGATTCGTTATTTGTATAAAAGTTGTAGCTGTTAAAAAAGATATACATATCATGTCATTTGATTCTCACAGCACTCTTGCGACAAGTAAGATACTGTTTAGTGACTTGCTTTTTTTTTCCACTTGATATCACGGACAATTTTTTGTGTCAGTACACATAGATTAATCTACTTCATTGTAAACTCCACAGAGTATTCCACACTATAAATAATTTAGCCATTCCCTGCTGATATGGTTTGGCTGTGCTCTCACCCAAATCTCATCTTGATCTGCAGTTCCCATAATCCCCACTTGTTATGGGAAGGACCCAGTGGGAGGTAACTGAATCATGGGGGCAGTTACCTCCATGTTGTTCTTGTGATAGTGAGTTCTCGCGAGATCTGATGGTTTTATATGGGGCTTTCCCTGCTTCACTCTACACTTCTCCTTGCTGCCACCATGTGAAGAAGGACAGGTTTGTTTCCCCTTCTGCCATGATTGTAAGTTTCCTGAGGCCTCCCTAGCTATGCTGAACTGTAAGTCAATTAAACCTCCTTTATAAATTACCCAGTCTTGGGTATGTCTTTATTAGCAGCGTGAAAACAGACTAATACACCTACCATGAACGCTCTTGCATGTGCTTTTGGTGAAGCTGTAGTTAGGATCACCAGTTTATGGGTCAGAAACGGAGGCTCAGAAAGTTGAAGACTCCACAAACAGTTGGTGCCCTCACTCTTAAGCCCCAGTTCTCCAGAGACCCCTCAGACTGGCAGTGGGTATGGCTTTGACTGCAGAGAGAAGCTGAAAACGCCTCCTTTTTCAAGGGACTCACCTGCTCCAGGTCATCAGCTGACCTTTTGTTTTCTCCCGCTGGATCCTGATAGGGTAGGACAAAGAGTTCAGCAGTGGTGGGTAAGCCAGGAAGCACCGCCACCAGGATGTGTTGACCTGGAACCCCTGTGGCCTAAGGGACAGACACAGGGGCTCACATTAGTGCTGCAGACAAGAAAGCTGAGAAGGGACCAAGTATTTGGTGGAGGGATCAGGGGTAGGCAGAAGACACAATAAGGGGCCTGAAAGCAGAGGTCTGGGTGTATTAGGCAGAGGATGTGAGAGGCAGCACTGGGCTATAGGTCCAGGCTCCAGAGTCAGGCTGCCTATGATTTAATCTCAGCTTCAACACCATGAGACCTTAAGCTCATTGCTCATGTTCTCTATGCCTACATTCCTTTAAATAGAAGATAGGACAGTTGCAGTACTTGCCTTGTGCATGGGTGATTTTGAGGATTAAATGAGTTACACATGAAGCATTTATGGTAGAGCCTGGGGATTCAAATGTTAGCTCTTCTCCCTAGACAGCACCTCCAAGGTGGGGACCACGCCAGTGAAAAGACCTTAACTTTATCATCTGTCCCTCATGCCTTAGTCCTTTCTAACCTAGCTTCCTCCTTCATTATCCCACTGAAGTTACTCTTTAAGTAGACCCAATCACATCCTAACCACCTAAGAGGACACCCTCATATCACAACCCTCAGGAGGGCCCTGTTGACTTTTCTGCAGCATCAGACCTGATGACCAACCCTGTTACCTGAAGCACTCTGAGTCCTCCACTTGGCCACACTGATTCTTCTGTTAAAATTACAGATATCACTCAAGGACTTCTTGTTTATCCTAGCTCACTGTTCTCTCTCTTGAGCTTATACCCCAGGGTTTCCCCTGAATTCTCTCTCTAGATGCTTCTAGAATCAATAGCTATAATCCTAGCTTATCTCTCCAACAGTCCAATTCAGATCATGTTCCCTTGTCCAAAATGCTTGCAAGAATTCCCATTGCCAACAGGATTAAGGACATATTCAAGGCCTTCTGCAATATGGTCCCACGCTTCCTTTCCAAACTAATTAGCCACAACTCTTATGCTCTTGCCAAATGGGATGATGTACAATTTCTCAATATTTCAGCCTTTTCCTGCAAATGTTTCTGTGCATGTTATCTCCACCAGAATGTCTTTTCTCTGCCTTTGCTACTTATCCTTCATGAGTCATCTTAAAGCTTATTTATTTCATTATTTCCCAATTAGGTGATTCTTAGTTTTTGAACTCCACTGTGTTGCATTTTTTTTGAAGTAGCAAGAAATTCCAGGTATTAGGTCCTCACCTAATGTTGTAAGTTACTTAGCACAATGCCAGGTACTTCCTGGGTATATTGTGCTAAGTAACTTATATTATTTTATGCGACCTCCAACAACGTTATTATTATAAGTAACTTATAATATTATTTTATGCAACCTCCAACAACCCTTTGAAGCAAATATGATTATACCTCACTTTGCAGTGAGGACATATCACATGCTGGGGTCCTCAGGAAGCTGACCCTGAGTTTAGAATGCAGGATATTTATTAAGAAGCGCTCTTGGGAACAACACCTATGGGAGCAAACAGAAGGAAACAAACATGGATAAGGGAAAAATTGAGCTGCCACGTAGGCCCATGACAACCTCAAGAGATCCCAAGGGGAGACAGAATGGCCCTTCAGAGTTGTCTTAAATTGGGCTGAGATGTCCAGGACTTTATATAACTGCACCAGCCTGTCATCAGACATGAATCACCCCACGAAGTGACATGACTTAGAACCAGGCTGGTGAAGACTGCCCATAGCTCTTCCAGAAAAGACAGTAAGTGTCTCCCTGAACAGAGGTATGGGTAGTGCATCTCCATTTCCACTCCAGGAAAGATGGTGGCTGTAGGAAGATTAGACAGTGGCTCAAGGCCATCTAGGAAGTGACTGTTGATACTTTTGAAGCCTGGTCTGACTGTGAAGCCTGTGTTGGGACCCAGTGCTCTGTACCACCCTTCTCCAGACACTGACAACAGCTCCTATGATATATAGCAAACCCCATACTGTTTTACGGCCTTACTAGACTGTAAACTTAGAGATTGTGCCTGAACAATCTTCATTGTACACAAAAATGTTTATAATGACATTCAATTAAAGATTTCATTGTGAAGTGTCAGTAGCAAAAGTCATTTTGATGAAAAAAAGGCAAACAATTTAATACCAAATTTTGTTTCATAATGAATAGGAAGAAAACTGCAAATTAGCTGACTCTCAGTTGTACCTCTTATAGGGTTTATTAGTGTACACTTGGCAATGTGGTCCCTTGGGACTGAAGAAAGTGGTCAAGTGCAATTACTGATCTCAAAGTCAGTGTAAATTGCTAGGAACCAAGCTCTGCATCAGCTGCCTCTTGGGATCAGGTAAGTAGGGAGCCTTGGAAACTAGAAGGTATTAATACCAGCACCACTGCTGATATAACCCTGCCCTGAGGGATATTGAGTCAATCTGTTTATTCTGCATATTCCTGATTATGCTGCACAGCAGGCTAGAAATATTGATGAGCAGTAATTTCTAGCCTAATGGACAGCTGGTAGAAAGGTGGAGGTACACGGCGTCTGATCTCTAGGTAATAAGTGTGAAGAGAAATCAGCCTAGAAGGCTGGACATTGCTGAGCTAATGCTTGGCTGATAAGTCACCTGGGGGAGGACCTATGGGGACGCAAGTCCCTAGAATGCTGCAGATGAGAAGAGATGGGCAGTGGGTTGATTAAAGAGCATAAGTCATCCTTCTTGGACAGCAGAGGACAAAAACCAGTTGTTACCCTAGAGACAGAAGGCTCAGGGCAGAAAGGCCTATTCCTTTTAGGGTTATAGTCCGGTAGTTGTGGCTTCTGCTGGTGATAATGTGTAAGCACCGATCACGTCACAGATGCTGAGAGCCATAGAGACAGAGGTGGGTGGCATTGTCCAGAGGCACATGAAGATACCCCTTCTTTACCCTAGTATTCCATCTATCCCTGTTTCTCCTTGGAATAAGGCAAAGGATGGCCCTAGAGTGGAGTGGTTAGGAAACCACAAAATCAAGATTCAGGCCTTGATGGTTTGACTCCAGAAGCTCATCTTTAAGTGCATGACCTTGGATGAGTAACCTAATATCTCTAAGTTTCATTTCTTCACCTACAGAATGGGAATAATCACAGGTTCAACATCATAAGCTTATCTGGAGGATTAAATGTGTTAAAATAATGCAAAGCACTGAAAAGAGTACCCAGAATATTTTAAGTGCTAACTAAATATTAACAAAGGTAATGAAGACGGGGAAGACCAGCTCCTTGCAAGAGGCTGGATGTAAAATCTGTTTTCTGAGCAGGGGTTATCTGAATGCCTTTATTTCATCATCTTTTTGTGTCCTGTGGCACCATGTGTTGGGAGCAGGAAAGAATGTTCAGCAAACCTAAATTGATTTTCATTCTGAGCTAACAATATACCCTGGGAGTAGATAACTCACTTCTGATTTTCTGCGTTTGCACAATAAGCTCAAGCTGCCCCATGAGCGGCTATCCCATTCCTCTGCTCACTCAAAAAAAAAAAAAAAAAAAATAGGCATGGTGGCAAGCGCCTGTAATCCCAGCTACTCGGGAGGCTGAGGTGGGAGAAGCACTTGAACTTGGAAGGCGGAGGTAGCAGTGAGACGAGATTGAGCCACTGCACTTCAGCCTGGGTGACAGAGCGAGACTACATCTCATTAAAAAAAAAAAAAAAAAAAAAAAAAGTAGAACAAGGAGGGGGAGATGTGCCTAAAAGAAGGTGTCTTCTCTAATTGCCAGTGACATTTGCTCAGGGAGGGATAAACCACAACCACCCTGTTATTCTCTGAGAAACCTTAGGAAGCTTTGTCAAATGCACAAAAGCCCAGACATTGGACTCAGGTCCTTAATTTCCATTTTGCAGCTTCATCCTCTATTAGATGTGAGAGTTTAGGCAAATGACTTAACGTCTCTAAACCTCAGTTGCCTCATCTACAAAGTGTGGGTAATAATTCCTTTTTGGGGCTGTTACAGTAGAGAAATGTCTTTAAAAAATGGGGGAATAGAAATATGACTAAGTGTCATATACTGAATGCTCACTGCACTGCTATGCTCACAGTAGTGGAAGCTGGAACCTGGGACCACTTTTACTAATTGTATTCACCTGAGGACACTTACATGCTGAGTCCCTTCACTGGCATGGACGGTAGCTGGTTTTATACTCTTCCTAATGGCCTGTGAACTCTGTTACAGAAATGTAGACAAGGGAGTTTAGGATGTCACTGTCCTCCTTCTCTAAGCAGAATAAGCGTCTCAGGGGGCAAGGACCCCATGTTTGTCCATGGTTCCATAGTTGCACCCCTTTAGTGCCTTTGATGTGTCTGCATGTGTGGGGCTCAGCTATGCAGACATCAGGCCAGTAAACTGAACTTCCCATGGGCTCTAGCTTCTTCCTGCTGGGTTTTTCTTTGTTTGTTTTTTGTACAAAATTCCCCTTTCCGTGAAATTATTCAAGGAGAGAAAATGTACCCAGGCAAGAGAAGAAACTGTGTGCACTCACTTCCACCAGGGATTTTTTGATGACTCGGCCGATGTCCCTCCTCCACTCAGGGATGTCTGGGTTGTAGTCATCCAGGTTTGGAGAAAAGGACAAGCGAAGAGACCGGAATTCCTCTGCGGATATAACAGTAGATAGATTACTATAAGTCAAATAGTCCTGTCAAGACGTTTGTTAGACTTTTTATTTTATACAAAATGGAGGGTCCTTCCCCTTCACACTTACCATAGAGACCTTTCTAGAAGGCAAGTCATTTCCCTGTACATATCTCACCAGCCTCTTCTTTTCTTTTTTGTTTTTTTGTTTTAAGGAGCAGAGAGTTTAATAGGCAAGAAACAAGGCAGAAGAAAGAAGGAAGAAGCTCCCCTGTACAGAGACAGAGGGAGGGGGCTCCAAAGTTGAGAGAGGAGAGCCCCCCAATCCCCCTTTTCCCTCTTCCCCCACTTTTCCCCTTCCTCTCCTTTCCCCTCTCTCTGCCTTTCCCTCTTCCCTCCCTTCCCTCTTCTCCCTTCCCCACCTTTCCCACCTCTCCCCCTCCTCTTCCCCCTGCACTCCCCCACCACAGGCAGTGTGGCCTTGGATACCAGCCAGTTATATGAGGAGGCAGTGTCTGATTTGCATAGGGCTCAGGGGATTGGTTTGACCAGGCATGTCATTCATGATGTAGACCAGGAAAAAACTGGCCCTCCCACCCTAGCCTTTTAATATGCAAATGCAACATTGTCCTACACATGTAGGGATGTGTGGGGGCAACCATGTTGCCAGCCACATGTGAGGGCAAGGGCAAGAAGAGGGCGGGGAAGTGCCATGTTTTGTTAGACCCAGTTTCTGATGGCCAGCATTTGCATATCAAAGGTTGCCAGCCAGCTCTAAGAGCTGGCAGCCCTTTATTTTCTAAACCAAACCCCTAACTTTGTTCCATGCCTATCTTTGCAGCCTTTGCCCAGTATTCCTAGTTCTAGGTTCTGTACTCCTGGATAATAAATAATCTGGAGCAACCTGAATGCACGGCAGGTTTATGACCCTGGGCCTTTGCACACACTGTTCTTCTGCCTAGAATGTCCCATTCGCCCCACTGTCCATGAACAAAATATTCAAGCTCTAGTTCAAGCACTCCCTGGCTCATTACCCTCCCCCATCACATTTTAATTTTCTTTTTTATGGCACTACTCTGTTCTGTACATACTTTTATTATTATTATAGAATAATTATTATGATGATTAGATATTTATAATTATCACTGTAATCATTCTATTGCTATGTTTTGTTTGCATGGAAGTTTCATTTAATGGAATTTTATATTATTCAGGGATTTTCTTCATTGTCTCTGTAGCACCTGAGTTAGTTTGGTTCTCTAGGAAGTAAGATGGTGAATACACAGGCAAGGATTATATGAGGGAAATTCTCTGTGAGAGAGGGTGGGCAGGGAGTCACAGGATTCAGGGAGAACCAACAGACCACCGTGCATGCATACAGGAAAGTCAAAGAGAGGAAGAAAGAGTGGGTGACTACTCTGCAGTCTGAGGGAGGTTCAGTAAGCCTGTTCAGGGGTCTTGGAGCCAAAGTCAGCTGACAGAGGAGTCCCCTGCATCCCAGAAATGGTTCAGTCTTAGTATCCCTGCTATACTCTGTCATTGGCAAGGGTAAGTCCCTGGAAGGTGGAGCCCTAGCCCTAGCTTGGTGATAAGCTTCAGAGGATAGCACTGGTGGCCTTGGTCAATTACACTCTCCAGAGCTGGAGGTCTGTGAAGCCCATTCTTGTGGCCTTGACACCCCTAACCCAGCATAGTGTTTGGCACATAATAGATTCAGATCATATGGCTCCCCTAAAACCTGCCAGTGCCTCCACATTGCATTGAGAATAAAATGTAGATTCTTACCACAGCCTTCCTGCCCCCACATAACCTGGTGGGGACTTCCTTTCTTTCCTCCTGTCCTAACTGGCTTTCCTGCACTCTCTGTGCTCCAGGACCTGTACTTCCCTGTGCTCCTCAATTCTGCTGGCTCTGTCCATACCAACTTTCTCTACTTCACTGGACTGCAGCAAACTCCCCTTTCATCATTCAATCTCACCCCAAGAGGTCTTTCCAACCACCCAACCTCAGGTAGCCTCCCTTTCACCATCCCATGCTCCCCTCATCACTGGACGCTCTGCGCCTTTTTCATACTCAGTGCTATTTAAATTATTTTGTTTTCATTGTTGTGTCCTTCAAACTGGAATATAAGCTCAATCAGGATGATGGCTCTGTGTTCCTGACCCTTGGGACAGTGTCTAGCACATGGCAGGTTGTCAGTTACTATCTATGAGTCATTTATAATTAATAAACATTTGTTGAATAAATGTATACTTAACTTATGGTGGAGGCTCCTGGAAATTAATGCATTTATTTATTTAATAAACATTTTTTATGTTAAGCACGCCCTTTTGTTTCATTAGGAGCGCTTAGAAGCGACGTTAGGGATGCCCATTTACCTTCAGGAAGCGTAAAAGCTCACTTGGACATTTCCTAACAATGCTAAGAAGTTATCAAACACATGTTTTGAAGACTCTGACATTGTAAGTTATGTTTTCATGGCAGTTTATATATTCCAAAGAGGTATTGTTCAAAGCTTGACTATTTTATGAGTCACTGATAGCCTATGTGAATATTACCTGATGGAGAACAATGAAATGTACATTAATTAAATAGTGTGGTAAACAGCAGAGCCAAAGAATCACCCATGAAGTCCTCACTTTTTGCTATGAAGATACAAGTTTATGTCATTCTCACTTTCTCTGTACCTCTTACCAAACTGCAGAGACTTCACCTACAAGGGAGAATGTTTATCTTAGTAAAAGGACACAAATGAGAAAATGATGCAGCTCCCTCGGTAATTACTTAGCATACTAAACAGCATGGCAGGGAGGGGACAGGGAAACGTTGTGCTTAAGTTGATTCAAGAAATAGGGGATGGGTGTGGGAGGACTGAAAAGGGTAAACACCAATAATATATATTTTTTGCAGCTGTTGAGAGAGATTCTATACATTTGCATATTTTTATTTACAAGCAAACCTGTGCCCTGGAGCAAATTAGAAGAAACAATGCAAACTAGATTTTCTTTCTTTTAACGTAGAGGACTACGACCGTGCTCACAAACAGGGTGTTAAGGATAAGTCCTGCTCTTGCAAACGAAGCAGGGCGTTCCCAATAAGTCCTGCTCTTGCAAACGAAGCAGGGCATTGGGGGCCTGTTTATATGTAAACATCTTGAAAATCCAGAAAGTCAGGGAAAGGTCAGAAAAACAACAATGTGTCTTGTGACTTGGCAACATTCCACAAACGACTGTATAAAATAAAGCGGAGCGCGCCATTCGAGGCGGCCGCCATGTTTGTCTTGTCTTGTGTTGTCTTGTGTGTTCATTCCTTTGTTTAGGAAACATGCGGACCCCAACATTTTAATTGATTGTGTCGCTTTGGGTAGACAAACCTTCCCCTGTCAATTTCTCAAATGTGATGCTTTTTTCAGTCCTATCATGACAAGTCTTCATGTTCCTGCCAATCTCACTAAACCTCAAACAAGTTTCTGTTTCTTCCTGACTGTAAGCTCCTGGACACGCTTTTCTTAAGAGTATTCTGGAAAACTTACAATTGTAAATTCCTTCTCTGTCCCTTGAGATGTAAATCTTCTACAACTCATGAATGTCCTTCTCAAGGATCTGGGAACCATTCCTTTGAAATAAAATCAAGAAAGATAGCACCCCTCCCTATCTCCCTGTCTGTGCTGGAGAGTAGGAGACTGACTTCCTTAAGCAGCGATTAACTCACACAGATGGTCTAATCACATTGAAAACCCACATGCTTCCTAAAGTCCTCCAGTATTTTCCCACTAGCTAACTCCAGTGTTTACAAATCTTCCTGCCTTTTCTTTTAGTTGGGTTCAATCTTTCCTGTTTAACTTTGCCTGGTGCAACTTTTATTTAAGGAGTCACGCCTGTCATTAAAACTTTCTGATCATGGAGCCAGGTGTGGTGACTCATGCCTTTAATCTCAGTACTTTGGGAGGTTGAGGAGGGAGGATCACTTGAGGCCAGGAGTTTGAGACCAGCCTGGGAAACATAGGGAGACCCAATAACTTTCTGATTATGTATATGAATCTCTGGATAACTCATCTGGCCGAAGACAAATTAAGGATGGCTGATGGTGCAGCAATTTGCTTAGAAGAGGAAGACAACCTTGTCCAATCTCTTAATGAAGAGACATATGATAACCTATTTTTAGAAAGACGGATTCACCCTTGGGTGATACCTTTAAAGAAATTGTAGAAAGAGGAAGAAGCAAACATAGCAAGGCATGGGAGGTGCTTACAAACATACCCTCTGGATTCAGAATTCTTAGCTCTGTTTATTATACTTATCTCATGTTTTCTCATCTGTAAAATGCATAATTATAGAATATTTCTCATAAATCTGAGCAGACTTAATAAAGCAGATCAAACCAAGTGCTTAGAACAGATGCCAGTGGCTAGTAAAGTCTTCATCAATGTTAATTACTATCACCACCACCATTGTTATTATCATTATCTGTCACCAAACAGCAGAATGACTTTAATCCAGTAATTCCCTATGTCTGGGCCATAATTTCCTATCTATAAAATGTGGGCTGGACGAGATAAGGCCAAGATTTAAGGTTATCTCCATGATTCTAATGACACCACCAACATGCATTACCAAGAGGACATCTGTTGGGCTAATAGGTCAGTGCCCGTTAGAGCAACCTGTGACATCCAAGAGGGAGAGAAAGGAAAAAAAAAAAAAAAATCCAGTGAAAATAAATGAGAGTCAGTTAAGTAGGATAGTTCCAATGCATAGGCCCTGAGTCTAGATGGGTTGGGTTGCAAACCCAGCTGCACCACTTGCTAGCTGGGGCAAGTTATTCACCACTCTGAAAAAATGGGGGTCATAATATCACCTGCTTTACCCTAGTTGTTATGAAGAATAAATGCATTCCCAGCACACAGAAAGGAGATGGAGAAGGGAAGAGAGGCAGACTTTGCCGCACTCTACACAGTCACTGTTTGACTGCCTCGTACCTCGCTAATGGGACATTGGTAGGAAAATCACAGCCCTGGTTTATTTCTTATTATCTGGGCTGATCAAGCCTTTCAGGAGGCAGGGAGAGAGAAGAAATTATAAAATCTAACACCCAGCCATGAAAGGAATAGTGTTAAGGCCTTTTGATCCTTAGATGTGTTCAAAGTTGCTTACAAATTATTTTCTGATTTTGAACGTCAAGTTCGCAAGATGAGCATTAACAGAACCTGACTCCTCACAGGACAATCCAGTTCCAAATTATCTCATCAAAATCAATTGATTCTGGAACTGGGCAACTGATAGTATTTGGACCACAAGCTAGGCTGTCTGTCTCTCTCTCGCTCTCTCTCTTTCTGTTTTTCTTTCAAGATGGAGTTTCTCTCTTGTTGCCCAGGTTAGAGGGCAATGGCGCAATCTTGGTTCAGTGCAGCCTCCACCTCCCGGGTTCAAGTGATTCTCCTGCCTCAGCCTCCTGAGTAGCTGGGATTACAGGAATGTGCCACCATGCCCAGCTAAATTTTATATTTTTAGTAGTGATGGGTTTTCACCATGTTGGTCAGACTGGTCTCGAACTCCTGACCTCAGGTGATCCATTGCCTCGGCCTCCCAGTGCTGGGATTACAGACGTGAGCCACCATGCCCAGCCTCTCTTGCTCTCTTTCTCATCCTCCTTCCCTCCTCCCTCCTTCTGCCTCCTCCTCTCTCTGCACAGCATTTCCTTTTCCTATGTAATTTCCACTTCTTAGATTTTAAAAACTAATTTTTCAGGATTCATATGTACCATTTCCATATTAATCATAAACATTTTTGCCATGTACTGGTAACATTTAGTGCATATCTATATGACTATCTTTCTATGCAGAAAGAGATTTACCAAAATGAAATCAATCCATCAAGGGTTTTTTTCTTTCCAGTTTTCAATCAATGACTCCATCTTTTCATTTCAGTACATTTTCATTCCATCTAACACTGTGACCATATTCAATTTCCCCAACTGATCACAAAATTGTTCCGTAGAGCCATTTGTCCAAATATCCAGTCTGTGGCTATGCACGGCATCTAATTGCTATGACTCCTCCATCACTCTTAACCTAGCAGAGAATTTTTTTTTTATGATACAGATTTGTGGAAGAGATTTTTAAAGTATTTAGACAATGGCAGATTTCCCTTATTAATTGAGAATTTTAAAGTTGAACTTAAAAAAAAAGAGATTCAATATTAGCTATTTTATAGCTATTAGTATTCAAATATTACTACCACTCTAAGTGAAATGAGTTAGCCTTACACATCCTAAAATCCACTTTACCCTATGAGTGAGTGAATAGTCACTCTACCTCTAAGAAAACCATTTCTGGATCCCGTCACTGTTTTACCAGTGATTCGAATTTCCCTGCAGGAGGAGATGAGACTTGCCTCAGTTCTTTCTCAACTACTGCCCTCCATTCTCCAGGTAAAAGTCACAGCTGAGGGACGGTCTCGGGAATCATGGTACAAGAGAACCTCCTCTGAGCATGAAGACAGCAGCAGATCCACCGAGATGGGCACTCACCATATACTGCGATGGTCTTTGTGTCTTGTAGGATGGCATTCCCAGCTGAGACCTGCACTGTGATGGTATTCATTCCTTCCGAAGTAAATCTGAAAGATATGCTTCCCTCCAAGGTGATCAAAGGCTAAAATAAACAAGGGCCCAGAGTGAAGGGAAAGCTCTTTAGTTTAGTTGAGATAGCCGCTAACTCTGAGCCAACAATGGGCTGTCTAACCCAGTGGAGGCTCTTCCCGATGGGAATGGCACTGGGTCCCTCTATGCCTCCCCATCATCTCAAGTCCAAAACAGAAAAGAGGCTATCGGAGCAATGACTCCAAGCAAGTCTGCCTATTCATTGTGAATTCCTGATATCACCCTGATTCAGGGCTGGGGAGATGGATAGGTCTTGCTTGCTGGTGGGATATATGTCTCTCTTTATGCATGACCTACTCATATCAAGCAGATCCCTAATACAAGGAAATGATCAAAGCAAATGAGAACGGGGGCTCATATTAATCCAGATGAAAGCAGCAGTCACTGAAAATCTATAAGCTGCCATGTGTTCATCTCCAGGGTGTACGATTTCTGTAGAATTACAATGGAACATGAAGCCAGTACACCAAAACCATACACTAGTTAAACAGCAGTGGCCTTGTGTGCTGGCCCCCTCTGAGAAGCCTCTTCAGCAGTTTCCTGGAAGTAGCTGCTGTGGAAACAAGCACTAATTGGATAGTGGTTTGAGGATTCAAAACAGAAAAAAAAAAAAGAAAAAAAATTTGGAGTGGTGCCTGCAATACAATCGAATGCTGGGGTCCTAGAGGAAAATATATTAGCCTACTGACCTCCCTCGACACACTCCTCACAAACATTTATTTCCCATCTTTTCTTAATTAATTTAAAAATAAAAATTCATTTAATTCCCTGTATGGCAGAAAGAAGACTAAAGCCCAGCATGAGAAGCCTTTTCAATGGGGTCTCTCGAGAATCTGGTTTTCTTTTTAAAGGAAAAATTTAAAAAATAAAAAAAAATAGGAGGTACAAAAGAAAGTTGTTCAGTACATTCACCTTCTAGAACTAGTTTTCAAGGAGATGACATAGATTCCTCCTCTTCCACTATGGATAGAGGGCCCACTATGGGCTGAATTTACACGCATAGTTTCAGATGAAATTAAAAAGGGTCTCTTTTCAGTTTAATTATGTTTGCAGTAGAGGTGAGAGGTTCTTTCCACTGTTTAGGTTCCTCCTGGGCCTGTGCAAAATGACGTCTCCAGCCAAAGCCAACTTTCAGCTCCAGAGTAGAAAAATGTTTTTATTAAAATAAGAGACATCGTATTTGAAGAGCAAAGTCACCAAGTGAAAGAAGCTCTGCAGGAAGATGGAGGGTTTCAGTCCAGAGCAGTTCATCCCAGTGTCCTTTGGAGCCTCAGCTCTATTGCCTTACATTTGGAAGCACTTTAATTTCTGAGAATGGAATGAATTCAAAACTGAAATAGACCATGCAGCCTGGTGCAGAGGCAAGAAAAATTAACGGAGGCATCAGAAGGCCTTAAATTTGGCCTCTTATGAAGCAGCTGGAAGAGATCAAAGCAAACCACTCCAGCTGCATCACCCTCACTTTTCTCATGTGCAAAATGAAAGACTTAGAGTAAATGAGGTGTTAGGTCTCCACTAGATTTAAAATTGCCACTGACTTTTGGGCATAGGGAACATTTGGAAAAACACATAAAAGTTAAAGCTGACCTAAATAAATAAGAGTTTTTATTTAGGGGGAGGAGGCCGTCGGGGGTGGGTTGTAACGGAAATCTGTTGCTTGCACCTGTCCAGCATCCAGTTGCTTTGTTTTCTTTTGGTAATCACTTCTCCCCTTCTGCAGTTCATGCGCTTCTGAGGAGACTGACTTCCTCACCTCTCTCTCCACCCCCAGCACTGTGATCAAGGCCTGGCCAGTAAGACTCAATTTCAGGACTGCTGTTAGAACTTTCAGGAAATAGAGTTTAATTTCTCTGCTAAGCTAAGGCTGCTAAGAGTGGCTGCAAAGACAAGGGCAGCTGGAGAAAAATGTAAACATAGAGGAAGGCAGAGATGAAATGCAGGTGAAGAGGGGCCAGAGAGAGAGAGAGAGAGAACATAATGATGAGATACTTAAGCACCAAGGGAGCTTGTTGTCCTTGAAGCTATGACTGCTTCTACCCTCTTGGGTTCATAAGCCATTTCATTCCCTTCTTTGCTGCAGGCAGCATAATTTGAACTTCTGTCCCTAGACCGCACATGGAACATGTGGAAGGTGAACCCACCTCCGTGTTGTTTCCGTACCACCACACATAGGTGAGGGTGCCCACTTGACTGGGCCACAGCACCGCTGTTGCATTGACCTCTTTGTTCTTTGTGGTGACAAAGGGAAGAGACAGGTGCACATGCTCCAAGGGACCTAAGGCACAAGAGAAAGAGAGGCCATGGAGGTGGAAGAGCTTCCTCTGCTCTGTCCTCCCTGCTCTGAAGAGAACACACATTTACTCCTGAAGCCCCCAAAACCTGGCTGCCATATTCCCCAATAGAAGTGTTCAGATGCTTTCCCCACTTTGGAGAAAGAATACATTGAGCACAATTGCACCTTGACATTTTGCACTTACCAATCTTTCTACCAGTTCTAAAACCTGAGTTAGGTGTGTGTAAAAGTTAAAAAAAATTACAGGTAATTTATGAAGTCCTTAAGAACAGGCCTCAGTTGAGATTTCACAAGGTGATGCAGTCTTTCCAAGAAGTTGTATCCTTGGGGGTGAACAAGAGTCATGAAGACCTCATAGAATCCATGTTGGTGAAGGGTGAGTGGACAAATCTTCAAACCACTCTCCATGTAATTACCCTTTATTGTTTATTGGGTTTTAAAGGTCTGTGTATGTGTGAATGTGTTTGTGCCATGTGTCTGCAAAGCTGTCTAGTTAGGTAAGCATGGCACACATACTGTGTTTGCGGTTGGATTAAGTTTAACAAGGACAGAGGTGTGTGTGTGAGTAGATAGAGAGTTCTATGGTTCTCAGAAGATGCTCACTTACAATATAGAATGATTTTATCTACAGAGGCCTATAAAAACTGGAAACCTTAATTAGATGTACCAACCTCACAAAGATATGAATGCCCTCTTCATAAAGAACCATGAGGACCTTTCCTTTGACCCTTAATCTTCTCTTTGAGTCACTGTTTGCAAGCAAAATGCAGCTTCCTATGCATTTGCCATCCCCATCTTGGTCCCACGAGATGGAGGAGAGAGAGAAATACCTTGGGCCTATTCATTTGGTTTATTACCTCCTCTTCTGCTTGCCCTTTAAATGTGTTTCCCAGAGTTCTGTGTTGAGACTTTTTCACTCTCTGCACACTTTTCTACTAGGCAACACCGTCCGTACCTTAACCTTCAAATGTCAAATGCATGTGAAGGGCTTGAACACCCCTTTCTGGGCTCTAGACTCCTTCTCGGGAGGTCTAGACTTCTTTGGCTCCAGCAGTCAAATGTTCTCAAGGACCCTGTTATTTCCCTCTCCTGTATTCTCTAGAGTTTGGTGATTAATGCTGATATTTATCCAGGAGCCCACTACAGAAACAGAAAGTCAATTTCAATTTCTTTCTTGTCATTCACGTCCATTTAGGAAACCGACGATTTGGTTCCATAAATATCTCTAAGATATTTATCTCACCCTCCCCAATGTGGCGCCCTGGTTCATACTCTAAGCACTTTCTCATTTCTCTTCCAGATTTTCCTGCCTCTAACCTTTCACCACCTGAATCCATCCTCCAAATGGCTGCAACAGTAATTTTTCTAGAAAGCCAAGCTGATCATGTTATTCATACTTGTTCAAAATTAAGATTTCCATGATCCGGCTGGGCATGGTGGCTCACGCCCATAATCCCAACACTTTGCGAGGGCAAGGCAGGTGGATCATGAGGTCAAGAGGTCGAAACTATCCTGGCCAATATGGTGAAACCCCATCTCTACTAAAAATACAAAAATTAGCTGGGCGTGGTGGCTTGCACCTGTAGTCCCAGCTACTTGGGAGGCTGAGGCAGGAGAATTGCTTGAATCCAGGAGGCAGAGGTTATGGTAAGCCAAGATCACACCACTGCACTCCAGCCAGGTGACAGAGCAAGATTCCATCTCAAAAAAAAAAAAAAAAAAAAAAAAAAGATTCCCATGATCCATTTATAATAACGACAACTAACACATTGATTTAAAATTTGTGAGACAGAAGACAGAGGCTGAAAACTTCTTGAGGGTAAGAATTCTTCATATTTGTCTTCATACACAAAGACTAGCAGAGTTTCTAAGACATAATAGATGCTCAAGTATTCACTAGGTAAAACAAATGATATAACTTCCCATGTCTGCCTTTGTTCACGCTACTCCATCTTCAGAGAATGAAAAGTCTGGTGATCAGCATACAGAATCAAACTGATCTTCTGGCTCATAAAGCATATGTTGAGAAGCAATTGATTATAAGCCAGAACAGTTCAATGAAATAATAAAAGGGTAACATTTACTGAGTGATGACCACAACTAAATGTTCTGCTAAGGACTCTGTTTTTCTTATTCTATCCTCATGAAACAATCTTATGAAGTAGGCACTCATATCCTCCCCGTTTAGAGATGAACAAAGTAAGGTGACTTTCCCTAGGTCATACAGCTAGGAAACATCAATTCTAGGATATGAACCAAAGCAGTTTGGTTTCAGAGCCCTTGTTCTGGCCAGAGGACAAGTGTTTGAAAGAACCTTTCCAGCCAAACAAAATAGCTATTAAGAGTTGCTGCTTCCTGATCAGGTAAATATGTCCCAGGCATTGGAAAATGCACTTTCCACCTGGTTTCATTTATTGCACAAGTCTTGCTGTTTCCCCATCAAATGGTTTGTTCCAGCAAACCACGTCCTGTTCCACCCCAGGGCCTTTGATTCTATACACCTTTCTTATGGCACCTGTCAGTCTTCAAGTCTCAGTTCCAGCATCCCCTCCTCTGTGAAATTCTTCCCAAGTCCCTGGATCTGAGTTAAATGAATCCATTAGAATACAATGACTAGATAAGCTATGCTAGAAATGCTAGTTCCATTCTAAAGAGGTTCACTTTGTCTCTCTCTCTTTTTTTTTTTTTTTTTTTTTTTGAGATGGAGTCTCACTCTGTCACCCAGGCTGGAGTGCAGTGGCACGATCTCGGCTCATTGCAACCTCTGCCTCCCAGGTTCAAGCAATCCTCCTGCCTCAGCCTCCCGAGTAGCTGGGACTACACACACATGCCACCATGCCTGGCTAATTTTTGTATTTTTAGTAGAGACAAGGTTTCACCATGTTAGCCAGGCTGGTCTCAAACTCCTGACCTTGTGATCTGCCCACCTCGGCCTCCCAAAGTGCTGGAATTACAGGCGTGAGCCACCACGCCTGGCTGAGCATTTTTTAAAAGTCATAAACCAGAGTAAGAACAATGCTCTATGTCATTGTCTCAATAAAAAAATTCGAATCTTGTTAGTAAAACATGGTAATTCATTCCCTCAGTCTTTTTGTGTTTTTTTGTTTTGTTTTGTTTTGTTGTTGTTTTTGAGACAGAGTCTCCCTCTGTTGCCTAGGCTGGAGTGCAGTGGCACGATCTTGGCTCACTGCAACCTCCACCTCATGGGTTCAAGCAATTCTCCTGCCTCAGCATCCCAAGTAGTTGGGATTACATGGGCGTGCCACCAAATCTGGCTAATTTTTGACACCCGGCTAGTTTTTCTACTTTCAGTAGATACGGGCTTTCACCATGTTGGCCAGGCTGGTCTCGAACTCCTGACCTTGTGATCTGCCCACCTCGGTCTCCTAAAGTGCTGGGATTACAGGCGTGAGCCACTGTGCCCAGCTGAGCATTTTTTAAAAGTCACAAACCAGAGTAAGAACAATACCTATATGTCATTGTCTCAATGAAAAAATTCGAATCTTGTTAGTAAAACATGGTAATTCATTCACTCAGTCTTTTTGTGTTTTTTATTTTGTTTTTTGTTGTTGTTTTTGAGACAGAGTCTCCCTCTGTTGCCTAGGCTGGAGTGCAGTGGCACGACCTTGGCTCACTGCAACCTCCCCCTCTCGGGTTCAAGCAATTCTCCTGCCTCAGCATCCCAAGTAGTTGGGATTACAGGGATGTCCCACCAAATCTGGCTAATTTTTGACACCCGGCTAATTTTTGTATTTTTAGTAGATACGGGCTTTCACCATGTTGGCCAGCCTGGTCTCGAACTCCTGACCTCAAGTGATCTGCCCACCTCGGCCTCTCAAAGTGCTGGGATTATAAGCGTGAGTCACCGCGCCTGGCCCTCACTCAATAGTTTTTGAGTCCTGTGATCTGTTGGGTATTATTCTAGGTGCTGGGGATACCTGGCATTTGGTGGAGCTTAGGTATTTCTGAGGGAGGAGGGTGCTGGACGCATAAAGCAGAGGTAGGTGATAGGGTGCTATTTTTGAAAGTGTGTTCATGGAAGGCCTCTCAGAGGAAATGGTGTTTGAGCAGTGATCTGAATAAAGTGAAAGACAGCACCAAGGATCTATTTGGAAAGTTCCAGGGTGAGGGTAGAATAAGTGAAAAGAACACGAGGAAGAGGGGCGCCTGCCATGTTTGAGAAATGTTCTTTTTTCCTTTTATTTTCACATAACCCCTTTTTGGTCAGTGACGATTTTTATTTTTTATTTTTTATTTTTATTTTTATTTTTTTGAGATGGAGTTCAGTGGCATGATCTTGGCTCACTGCAACCTCTGCCTCCCAGGTTCAAGTGATACCCCTGCCTCAGCCTCGCAAGTAGCTGGGATTACAAGGACCCGCTATCATGCCTGGCTAATTTTTGTATTTTTAGTAGAGATGGGGTTTCACCATGTTGGCCAGGCTGGTCTCGAATTCCCAACCTCAGGTGATCTGCCTGACTCAGCCTCCCAAAGGGCTGGGATTACAGGCATGGGCCACCGCGCCCGGCCAGTGATGAATTTTGTAAGAGAAATTCAAGACACATAGTATGTTGGCCTTGTAGGCCCTGAAATACGTATGTGTGTGTTTGTATAAGTTCGCACTTACATGCATATATATTATATATGTATACACATATGAAATTTATCTTTCAGATTCCCACAGCATCTTTTATTCATTTACATTTCACGGGTTTAAAATACCTGGTTCCTGCTATCCAAAAGCCAAAAGCCTATTCTTTGACCATTTCTGTTCATCACCCATTAGGCAGTATGCCCTAATGGAGCCACAGAGGTGAAACTCCAGACCCTGGAGGCCCCTAGCTGGCTGGCTGCATTAAGTAGGGAGCTGAACGGGCAGATACGGCGCCTTCAGACAGGTGCCTGCAATGCACAAAAGGGACAGTAGGTGGCGCTGCATCATTCCATATGAATCTTTCTGGAAAGGTGGTTGAAAGAATTGGGGAATTGTGTGAATTGGGTTTCCCTTCTCTTTTCTTGTTTATAGCCCTCCTGTGCTGCAGGAAACAACTGACTCCTGAGGCTGCACATTGCGTGTGTGTGTGTGTGTGTGTGTGTGTGTGTGTGTACCGGCTGCTCTGGCCTGCCTGCAGCATTTATGTTCCGGAGACCTTTGGCCACCTAATTAAATATTGTGCACATATCATATTGCTATTTGTCTGCAATGTTTAAAAAAGCTACTAGAAGAAATAAGAGTGATTCAAACCATAAAGTTGAGATCCTAAAACAGAGTTCCTCAAACTCCAGTGTACATAAAAATCATACTAATCTGTTCAAAGCAGATTATGACGCCATACTTCCAGGAATCCTCATTCAGTGGGTATGGGATAAAACCCAGAACACTACATTTTTATCGTTTAATTTGGGGGCAGGTGGCTCATTAAGCCACACTTTACAAAATCCTAGTCTGACATTTGCTGGTCAATAAAATGATGGTGAGAACAGTTGAAAAACTACATGGGTTTTCAAGCTACACAGATACTTTTACTCTAAGATGGGACCAGAAAGTCATCTGCACATGGCTCCTACATAAGGGAACAGCTAAGGGAAGCGGTTTAGGAAGGACTAGAAGATCCACCTTATCTTTTTTTTTTCCACTTCCTGTTCTGCAAGTTTGCAGTCTTCACTGATTTTTTTTTTTTCTGCAAGACTGGCTGCAACAGGGCAGCTTTCTGAGCAGAAATCTGCATGCTCTGTAAATCCTCTGCCCCATCCGACTGAAGGCAACACTGGCTGCAGCACGTGTCTCATTAGTTTGCAAACTAGCAGAGCACAGTGAATACCATCCCCAAGGAATTACCAACTGTTAGGCTACAACAGATTACCAGGCACCCAGCAAGACCGGGCCCACTCCTGAAACACTAGGCAGGAACATCGGCTCCATTTGTTTCAGATGACCTTTGCAAACCCATCTTTTTTTTCAAACCCTCTGGTTTGGAATCAAATCACCTTTCTGCACTGGAGAGTGGTCGGAATGTGTATGTGAGACAGGCAATGGGCTTTCAGGATTGCCCCTGAGGGTAGGAATGGGGGAGGGGAGAGGACAGGCTTGGTGAGCTAAGAGTTGCTGCTAATTCTACTCTCCCTCACAATCCACTAAGTCCAAATGTATATGCTACTTTGTGATGATAGAAAAATCAAGTTTTACTAGGTGCCAGGGTACCACATATTTTGCTTGATGGGACTTTTGGGAATGAGATGCGCATCTGCTTGACAGAGGAGAACATCGAGGCTCAGAGAGACCGAGTGACTTCCCCAGGAGTTTGAACCAAAATCTGGACCTAGTCAGAATGCCCAACTCAGTCCAATGTTTTTTTTTCCCCCTATAAAGCCACCTCTGCACTTTGGCACCTAAGTCACTCATGACACCCTCCAGCTTTAAGATGCTTGAGAGTGTGACTCAGTCATGTTCTTGTTCTGACTTGCTTTGAGCGTAAAGTGATGCCAGAGTCACAGTGCTTCTCCAATCCTTGATTTCTCCATCTGAAAGACAAGGCCAGAAGTCTATTACGGTATAGATGTGAAGATGAGCAAAATGAGTTTGTGTGCATAGCAAAGCACCCCGGATCCTTTAGGAGGGAGGTACTAACTGGGCATGTCAGAATCTGCTGAAACAGTTATGACATGAGTTTATATGTATGTGAGTTAGCTAACAGCTTCAAACATGACCTTGTTTTTAACACAATTAGTACCAAAGAGCCAGGCTTAGAAAAAAGTTCCATTATATGAGGCATGCTTATACAACCACTTAACCCAAGATGAGTCTACAAAATCAAAATTAGAACACGAAACATTCCATTACAAATTATCTTCCTCTAAGATTAAGGTCAAATATTTTATCCAATCAACTAGGCTAATGAAATGAAAGAATTGCAAGTGAATGAGAAACTGATTTCTTTTAGAAGGGTTTCGGCAGCCCTTAATCTTCAGCAGAGACAATCTCTGTGTGTGTTGTTTTCCTCTCCAGGATTTTGTTAACTAGGGAGGAGTTTTGCAGGGGAGCAGCAGACACCTCAAGGGGTATGATCACACACATAGGAACGAGAAAAAGCCTACAGAGTGACGAAGAGGTGAAGCTATGGAAGATTCAATGGGAGACCCAGAAAATTCAGATCAGAAGCTGATACTGGCTTTTAAATCAGTATTTTCATGTGATTAGACTACGGTAGATGTATAACAAATTTGTGGTATATGGAACACAATTATAATTTGTAAGGAAGCTAGTTCTCTAGCAAAATTACCCCTTATAGAATAAGCTATGAGATATGATATGATCTAGGTAGGAGCCATTCTCGGCAAATGTGCTGTCATTTTTATTGCAAGTTATTTTTGTTACTAATCATTAATGTTTGTGATGTATTGTTAAATATTTTAGCATGACCATTTCTACGATACCATTGCTATCATTTCCCTACATACTAACATATAGGGGGGTATTATGTCTTAGTGAGTGGCAAGTCCTGAATGTCTATATAGGACGAGTCAGGGATGGCAGTTAGATGGAAAGGATCCCCCGTGGTGAGTCCTGAACTATGTAGTTGTGCAACAAGCACACTGCTTCTATCCAAAATGTTTGTTTCTTCAAGATAATCTGTAAAGAGTAGGGGGTAGATGGTAAAAGCTATGGAGACAGCTCCTCCAATCCCAAGCCACTCTTGGTGCTGACACTGACCTTAGTTATCAAGAGCTAGGATCCTTGCGGCAGCTGGACCTGAGTCTGAAGCATGGTTCTGCTAGGTAGTAGGTCGGCCACTTCAAGCAAGTAACTTAAGCTCTCTGAACCTCAACACTTTTTGTAAATAGGGTTACTAATAGTGTGTACTTCACAGGACTGTTTTGAGAAGTGAGGTAATATACATTAAGAGCCTGTTTAGCACAAAGTCTGGAACATACTGTAAACTGCAGCCAAAAATAGACAGACCGAGTTGGCACACTGAGAATCATGTGTAACTTTGTCTAGACCCAAATAAAGGAGTGCATGTTTCTTTGAAGCACCTCTGCCATGAGAGTACAGGAGACAGAGATCAGAATTACTGACATGTTAGGAAGACTCAACAACCGAAACATCTCTTGGTCATCGCTTAAGTCTTGCTCTCTCACTGGACCATAGCAGCTAAAAAAGAAAATGTTCTAATAGATACTTTCTGTATTCAATTTTGTTCCATGGGCAAGGTGCAGAGGAGAGGCATGGAGTAATGATGCCTGGCCTTCAGACTCTTGACTAAAACTTGATATTTGAACAAGGCCATTCATAAAAAGGAGCTACTTTCATTTAAAGGAAACAATTTCATTAGTAATCAACATAAGTCCTATGACTGGGAAACACCTTACACCTAACATATGAATGACACATGAGCACACATAACTTAGAAGTTATTATTGTCTCATCGTACTTACTCACATCTTTAGAATCCTCAATGAGGGAAAAGCTTTAGCATTTCTTGGAACTGTTTTCTACCATAGTTTCCTTAACATTGTTTTTATACTCTTTCTCTCTACACCACCTTCTCTCTAACACCAAGTCATCCCAGATAGAAGCCCAGGAAACACATTTTTTTTAGAAAAGGAGCAAAACTCTAAAAGGATTATTAATAGCAACATATTATGAGAAGATGGAAATAATAAGATGGTGAGAAACTTATTTACTTGGGCTAATTCTCAATGCATTAGATTGAGTGGTGCATGTGGATTGTTTACAACAATTTCCGACCCCCCCCCAAAAACCAAATTTCTTTGTTTCAACCAAATAGCTCTGCAAGTTGCTCAGGCCCAGCCTCCAGATTCAAGTGTCGCATCTTCAAGGCACCTGGGGTAGGCAGGGGAAATGCAATGAGAATTTGAAGCAATCCAGAGAGTCCAGGATTATTCAAATGCTACTCTTTGATATTCTTCTTACTCTTTCCTTATTTTGGTCTCTTAATCATTTCTTCCCCATTCCCCTTCTGCTAATAGATAACTAGTGCACTTCTTCTAGATACAAAATTGTGCATTCGATTTGAAAGGACACAATGTTTAAGATAGGTCATAAACCAACAACAGTAATAACATACAAGTTACATGTAAGTACAGGACGGCGCTGTCAGAACCCAGACTGTTGTCCACCTGCACGGTCACACGGAAAATGCCCACGTTCTGATAGACGTGTTTGATCCCATCTTCCATGGAGCTGAGATTGACGTAAGACACCGCGATACCATCGCCGAAGTCCACTTGGATGAGTGTCCGCTGAACATCACCCTGAAAAACAGCCCAACATCAGAGGGAAGGCGTCAGTGTTCGGCTGCTCCTGCCTAGGGGACTGGGGACTATGGCTTGTCCTAGTCCCTGGCTCAGGCATGACAGCAGCCCTGGCTCACTGCTAGAGCTAGGAGCATCTGCCTGCCTTTGACAGAATCCCTGTGACATTCCCTGGCAGGCAAGAGTTTGCTATGATGGATACACTCCAAATCTGAAGGACAGCAACTACTATAAGTTTCAGGGATTTGAAAATTAATAGTGCTTGATTATCAGCTGCAATGTGATATTCAGTTCCTCCAAAGGCTTTCGTAATAGTCTTAACATCCACAAGGATAAAAGGTGTACCCACACAACTTAAAAAATTTAGCTTACCTAGGTCAGGCGCAGTGGCTCATGCCTGTAATCCCAGCACTTTGGGAGGCTAAGGCAGGCAGATCACAAGGTCAAGAGATCAAGACCATCCTGGCCAATATGGTGACACCCCGTCTCTACTAAAAATACAAAAATTAGCTGGGCATGGTGGCACATGCCTATAGTCCCAGCTACTCGGGGGCCTGAGGCAGGAGAATTGCTTGAATCTGGCAGGCAGAGGTTGCAGTGTGCCAAGATCGAGCCACTGCACTCCAACCTGATGATGGAGTGAGACTCCATCTCAAAAAAAAAAAAAAAAAAAAAAAAAATTGCCTTCCTGACTGCCATGGTAATGGCCACTCCACTTCCTGTGTCTTCAGGACCACCCCTCAACGAATCCCCTCGTTATTTCTCGTTCCCTAATTGTATCCTTAGGAAGGATGGAAGACACTTTGCCTGATATCTGATATGACACTGGACTCAGCCCTGTTATTATTTGAGATAATAATGGTTAATTTTTATGCTAGCCCTGTTATTATTTGAGATAATAATGGTTAATTTTTTTATGCTTCAGCATTTCAAACTATCAAAATGATCTCACGTTATTCTTCACAGATTCTTAGTCTAGTCTGGAGAGAGGAGTAGGCAATCTTTTTTACAGATCTACTTTACAGATGAAGAAGCTGAAGTCAAAAAAGATGTCATCACTTGTTCAAGGTTAACACAGCTAGTCAGCGGTGATCCTGGGATTCTAACCCACCTTTCTGCACTTCCAGGTCATTCATTATAGAGAGAATATAGCACTGTGGGCAATCAAGGCTCTCCTGGGCATGAATTCTCATGTGCCATTAACAAGCTGGAAGGCTTCATGCAAGTCATTCAGTCCCCTTCAGTCTCAGTGACAAATCTATGAACTGGGTATAATAATACCTTACTGTCTTAAAGAGCTGTTGTAAAAAATATGCAGGAAATTAATTACAGATTAATTAGTCATCTGTAAAATGCTACATAAAAATGACTGTAAATCAATGTAGCTGTAAAAGACCTACTATTGTCCCTTTAAAGCTTAATTGAAATTGTGTGATTCCAAATTTCCCATGGGTAGGCAGAAGAAGATAAATTCTGCATTATAAAATCCCAGACCTGTAAAACAAGAAATGACCCTTTGGAACAACAGTTTAGATTCTTAAGGAAAAATGTTGCTTAGACCCCATTGACAAAAACCAGCTTCCTTCACACACAGTCCATCCTTTAACAAATTTCGTTGTTGCTGTTAGCCTTTCCCACTTTCAGGAGAGAAAAAAACAAAAACCTTTGAACTAGAAATGTATTTTCGATTAAGTAAGGTTCATATGGTATCATATATTTTGAAAAGGCCAAGTTTAAAATGTTGACATTTAAAAGATTAATTCACAGGGAAAAGAAAAGTAGTTCAAATCCTATGAATCTGTATGACCTACTCTTCTGCTCTACGCCTAGCCAAGCATTGTGTGTGGGACTCACAGCAGTGGACTCGCAATAAGTACACAGGCACAAATTCTACCCTAGGGTAAAAAGAGAAATTCCATTCAAAACTACAAAATAAATATCCACAAGCCCAGACATTGTGCACTTACTTGAATTCCTTTCACTAATAAATATAAATGTCAACTATTCTTGTTGACATGTCCTTCATTTAAACAACCAAAGTGGACTGATCAATTTCTCATTCTGTTTCCAGTTAGTTTCCACTCCTAGTTTTTAACAGAGTTGCCAGGAAGACAGCCCTAGGTGTGGGCATGGGGAGAGAGCCCACTTTTGAAGCAAGTATCTGAGGGAAATAGCATGGATATCTGGGGTTATCCACGGAATAAAACAAGGAATGCAGTTTCTACTAGAGAGGGGGAGGATGTGAGGGAAGAGGGAGACAGACAAGTTTAATGTACTTTGTGGCAACAGAGTGAGCATCAGGCAGGGGCCATCATTTGCAAAAGGACAGAGGGGAGATTCACACCTTCAGTCAACTCTACTTCAGCCTCCACTGAGAGAGAGCAGACACACAGGTGGGAAGAATACAACTTTGGCTGCCATTGCTTGAGTCTACCTTGCCTTGCCCTTTCTGTCTGGTCTTCATCACTTCCCTTTTGTTGTCCTGCATCAAGACCAGTTACACAAAAGCCCTCCAATTTCTATCTCTCTTGATGTCTACTGTCTGTCTTGCTGCGTTTTGTTTCATGATAGGATTCTTCATTCTCCATTCATGGAATGTTCTCTGCCTATATAACGGGTGAAAGGATGGAGCTACTCGAAATTTGGACTAGTGCATTAGTAAGGTTTCCATTACAGAGTCAGGCTACTAGGGTGTTAGGTCAGGTATTTTACATATAATTATATAACAGATCATACTTTAGATGATAGAATCAGGTATTAAGTTTAACATGCACCTGACAGCCCGTGAAGACAAAGGCATGGAATTCTCCAATCAAATGTGAAGTCCCCAGGACCTCCTGATGTTGGGACAGAACTCTGGGCTTGGACTCTGCACTAAGAGATAAGAATGTCAAGGGGCCGTGTATGACAGCAGAAGGCAGCAAATTATATTCCTGCTGTCACTTTCCACTAAAGGTGGACAAACTAGATTCCATGCCTTTTCCTTCAGGAGCTCTCAGGTGAGTGGTAAGACTAATACCACTGTAATAGCTTCATACTGGGGCTCATCTGTCATTAGATTCTGGTGTTCCTGGGCTCAAATGACTGCTGGAAGGAAGGATGCCAGCCACTTTCAGAGAATAAGAAACTGAGCAAAGGGATGGCAGCCCAAATCCTAATAACTATTGACTAGGCATAGTCACCCTACCAGCTCTCTGGTCATTCGTTCACCCAACTGTCAGATACTTATTGAGTGTCTATCTCATGTCAGTCACCAAATGGAAAATGTTATTAAGCAAGCAATAGCCAAACAAACAAAACAAATATGGCCTGGGCTTTCATGAGCTTACAGACCACTAGTGAAACACATGTACTTTAATTAACTAATTATGCAAATAAAAATTATTGCAAGGTGACATGAAGGAAAGGTACATGGAGTTGTAAGCTTTTGCAATACGCAGGACTAGAGAGCTGATCTGATTGGGAATTTCAAAGTAGGCTTCCAAAAGGAAGTGATATCTGAGCTGAGAATATCTGAAAGCAGCAGGTAAATTAACCAAATGGAGGAGATGAATGAATGAGGTACAACTGAGAGAGTGCAGGCCAGGGGAACAGCGGGAACAGATGTGCAAAGGACCTGTGGTACAGGGAGATAGTACGGTTGAAGAAATTAAAAAAGAAGGAGGAAAAAGAGAGAGAGAACAAGAACATGTTACCAAAATGAGGTTAAAGCAGAGAAAAATACCTTTTCGGACTTGTGAGTCAAATTCCTGATTTTTATCTTTTTCCTAAGAGCAATGAGAAGCCACTGAAGTGTTTTAATTTTTAAAATGTTTTTAAAATTTTAATTGATAATAATCACATATATTTATGGGGGCATATGTGATATTTCAATACATGTATATAATGTGCAGTGATCAAATCAGGGTAACTGTGACATCTATAACCTTGAACCTTTTTTATTTCTTTGTGTTGGAAACATTCAAATTCCTTTCCTCTAGCTATTTTGAAATATATGATAAATTATTGTTAATGATAGTTAACACTGTACTGTGTTATAGAACATTAGAACTTATTCCTCCTGTCTAACTGTGATTTTGGACCCATTAACCAATCTCTCCCTACCCAGCCTCTTGTAGCTACCATTCTACTCTCCTATTCTGTGAGATCAACTTAATGATTCAAGTGTTCTAAGTAGAGGTTTAAGGGAAGATGGCATGATGATATTTTTAATTAAAAATGATCACTCTGGCTATGATATGGAGATGAACTGGAAGGGGATCCAAGTGTGCTGGAAAGCCAATTTGGAGGTATTCTAGGATAGATGATAGTAGATTAAACAAAACAAAACAAGATAACAAACAAAAAAGCTCCAGCAGAAAATTATATGCACCTTTCTGTCAAAATTAATTCTCATAGTTTATTGGTTTTGAAATCAGTAATTCTGAGCCTTTGATATCAACATCTCTTTTAGGAGTTTTATTTCTTAATCTTGATGTCCAACTACTACCCAAGATCCAGCACTGTTTTGAGGCCTCTGAGAGGATGCCCAGTCCTGCTGCAGTCTGAGGTCTGTAGCCGATGCTGGGCTGTAGCGAAGGCTGAGGTCCTGTCATTCTGATTGTTGAATATTAGGTCTTCTTGTGGTCGGATTCATCTGAAGATGAACACTACAGCACAAGTTGATGCTATTCTTACTTGGTTTTAATATGATGAAAAAGCTTTACCAGGATGCTTTAGGATTGTAAATACTAAGGTTGTAATAAGGCTGGGAATGGAAAGACTAAACTCATTGTTTGTGGACTGGAGCATAATCGCAAACAAAAGTGTCATAATACATATGCAGTCAAGATTAGCAAACTTCGCTACAAAAATGAGTTGCTGGGTGGTACTAGGATAGACTGTGTGAACTCCACGGGTCTGAGAAGTGTCTGGTTAATGGTTGTATCTTCAGTGCCTTAATGCAACGCCTGCGAATGATCCTTTTTAGTTCCATATAATTTGAAAATTGCACATTTCTA